AGAAGCGGAAAGGGGAGGCCATGGCCCTGAATGAGAAGCAGATCCTGGAGAAGGTCAACAGCCGTTTTGTGGTGCGTGTGGTCCTCTCCTGGGGGGCCGGGGAGCGGGGGGGGGCCAGGTCCAGCGCTGATGGATGGGGTGGGCGCGTAGGTGAGCCTGGCGTACGCCTACGAGACGAAGGACGCGCTCTGCCTGGTGCTGACCATCATGAACGGGGGCGACCTCAAGTTCCACATCTACAACATGGGCAACCCCGGCTTCGAGGACGAGCGCGTGGTTTTCTATGCGGCAGAGATCTGCTGCGGGCTCCAGCACCTGCACCAGGAGGGCATCGTCTACCGGTGAGCGGGGCGTGGGCACAGGGCCAGTGGGGCGGCTGGATGGGACTGCTCCGTGCTGAGCTGTCCATCTGTCTGTCCCTGCAGGGACCTGAAGCCGGAGAACATCCTGCTGGATGATGATGGTGAGGAGGGAGCTACTGGGTCTGGCTCCACCCCTGCTCTTGGCTTTGGGGATGAGTCTTCGCGTGCCTCCTGGGGGGTCTCTGGCTGTGTTTTGGGGACAACATGCAGCGATGTGGGGTGGCCCTTCCCTGGGATGCTGCCCTCCATGCAGGGCACCTTCCCTGGGACGATGTCCTCACCCCCTCCCTGCCCCAGGCCACATCAGGATCTCCGACCTGGGGCTGGCTATCAAAATCCCCGAGGGCGAGACCATCCGCGGCCGCGTGGGCACCGTCGGCTACATGGGTGAGCGTGGGGGGCTGCACTGGCCGGGCTGGCCCGGGGGTCCCCGTGCCGCGGCGTGCCTGGCCGCTGATGGGTTTGGGGCCGTGCCTCGCAGCTCCGGAGGTGATCAACAACGAGCGCTACACCTTCAGCCCCGACTGGTGGGGTCTGGGCTGCCTGGTGTACGAGATGATTGAGGGGCAGTCGCCCTTCCGCGCCCGCAAGGAGCGGGTGAAGCGGGAGGAGGTGGAGAAGCGGGTGCAGGAGGACCAGGAGCTGTACTCGGACAAGTTCAGCGAGGATGCTCAGGCCATCTGCAAGATGGTGAGCTGGGGAGCGGCTGGTCCCCGCGGGGGTCGGCGCTGGCTCTATCCCCCCGCCGTGACCACCCGTCCCCCTCCCCAGCTCCTGGCCAAGGACCCCAAGCAGCGGCTGGGCTGCGGGGCTGACGGGGCGGCCGAGGTGAAGCGCCATCCCTTCTTCAGGGCCATCAACTTCAAGCGCCTGGAGGCCGGCGTCATGACGCCCTCCTTCGTGCCGGACGTAAGGGGCAGGGCAGGGGCAGGCACCCGCTGCGGGGGGCGAGCCCCGCTCCCCCCGCTGACAGCTCTCTGGCTCCCGCAGCCCCGGGCGGTTTATTGCAAGGATGTGCTGGACATCGAGCAGTTCTCGACGGTGAAGGGTGTCAACCTGGACCAAACCGACAACGATTTCTACGCCAAGTTCGCCACCGGCAGCGTCTCCATCCCCTGGCAGAACGAGGTACTGGGGGCATGGGGCACAGGGGGGGTCCTGCCCTGCTGCAGCGCCGCCGGGGCTGCCCATGCCTGTCCCCCCGGTGACCCAACCCCCCCAGATGATCGAGACCGAGTGCTTCAAGGACCTCAATGTGTTCGGACCCAGCGGGACCCGCTCCCCCGACCTGGACTGGAGGCAGCTACCCGAGCCCCCCAAGCGGAGCCTTCAGAGGCTCTCGACGCCATGTAAGAGATGGGGGAGGTATTTTTTGGGGGCGGGTGCCCTGGGGTCTCCCTGAGACCCCCCTGGCTCACTACCTGCCGTCTGTCTGTCTGTCCCTCGCAGCCGGCCGACTACACCATCGGCACCACCATCCACCCCCCCAACCCAGATGCTGTGAACTCGCACCCTCCTGTGGCCAACTCCACCTGCCGAGCCCCGGCACCAGCACCATCCTGACCCCTCCCACCGTCCCGGGGGAGCCACCGGGGCCGGGCAGCCCCCAGCCCACCCTGTGCCCTCTCAGGGTTATCTTGGACTGGCGCTGGGGCCGGGGTGTCCGGGGATGCTCGCGGAGGCGAGGCAGGATGCTGGCGCAGATGGATGCGGGTTGCCGGCACGGGCTGACGTGCCTGGGCAGGGGCTGATGGAGGGGCACTGGGGC